TTTATTTGTTTCCGTAATTGTTTTGGACTTTTGGTCCGCGTGTGTTCTTCCAATTTCTGTGCTGAATCCAACCGTATAAAGAACGTAAATTTTGGACATACGGTTGGAAAGTTATAGGTCAAACACTGGACAGAGGTCGAAACTGGAAAAATAGAGAAACGAATCTGTCCAAATGGTGATAAAAGGGTGATAGAAAGTGCTGTTTGTGTTTTTCTCTAGTTTTCTTGTGTTGTTCCATTTCTTTTACACTTCTTTACTCATTTCTAGTTTCCCTCTTTCATTTGTGCATTTGTGGTGTGTTAAATAAGTGTTCTTTATGTACTCAAATTAGAACTTATAGGAAGCCGACAAGTTCTTCGTGGGATCGACCCCGTACTTACATAATCTATACTTCGATAGATTCGTGCACTTACGGGTATTTTTAATTGGTTGTTTGCACATTAATTTGTGTCCTCTTAGGAATGCAACATCTCGCTCTCTCCACCCTCTGCCCCCTCTCTCTCCCCCGCTGTGTCTCTCTCCACCAAAATCCATCTCAATAAATAAAAATCCCACATACCCCCCTCATCCTCTCCTAAAGTAGTTTGTAATCCAACAAAACACTCTCATTCCCCATCCTCCTCTGTGTCTCTCACTCTGCCTGAAACCATTGAAACAATCGCAACCCAAATGAGATTTAAATACTAGAAACAGTCCACAGAGGAAAAAAAGAGAGAGAAGATGGGGTTGGGCGTTGGTTGCGGATGGAGATGGGGGCGATCGGGTTGTGGGCAAGAAAAGAACTAAGTTACACGGAGAGAGAGAGAGAGAGAGAGAGAGAGAGAGGGCAGAGGGGAAGAGAGCTGCAACTTTAAAAAGACCAATTTTAAATATTTTTTTAGATTTTAAATGTGAAACTATTTTTTAAAAATAATTTTATGTATTTAGTGCCTATTTGGGATTTGATTATTTGGGCTAAAAAGTGATTTCTGATAAAGTTTTTGAAGTTTAACCCGTTTGGTAAAAGACGAAATAATCACTTTTGGGAGAAAATAGCTGTCGATGACCGTGATTTTGGAAAGCAGCTCAAGGGCTGATTTTATTTTAGCTTTCGCACAAAGCAAAACACGGAACCGGTGGTGTTTAATGAATTCTAAGGAAGTGCCTATAATATCCTTGTTAACTTTCATAATTTACATGATATATCCCTCATCTTCTTCTAGACCAGCACGTTACTCATCTTCTTCCCACATAGACCATCTCACAACGTTTCAAAAGTGAAAACCTCTCAGACCTTACTTTCTCAACTTCCTTAAATCCTCCAATAAACATTTTGATAAAGCAACCCATTCCAACTCCTCCCATTTTCATTGACAAAGCATTATTGCACACAACAAATTGAAATCTTTGAATAATTTGATAGAGCAATAGAGGGAGAGTGGATTATTTTTAGATGTTGTAGTCAGCTATGCTGGTCTGGAGAGCAAAGATCAACATATGCTGGTCTGGCAGAATACTCTCCTTGTATTGGATCTTGGCTTTGACATTGTAGACTGTGTGAGAGCTTTTCAGGGTGTTGATTCTTAAGATCAAGGTGGATCTGTCTGTGGGAGGGTGGGTCGAGGTGAGGCTGGGAGGGAGAGGGGTGCATAGAGGGTTCTGTTTTACTTTTTTTAAAATGTTATTGTTTTAGGGTATCTCTCAACAAAAAAAGTTTACCAAACCCCAAATTGCTTTCTTTCACAGCTGATTTATCTCACAGCAAATCTGACAGTGATTATTTTCACAGCACAGCAATGCCAAACTGGCCCTTAGATTAATGTGGCATTATCTCTATATAAAAATAGTAATTTTGACGGAATCTAACAGTAAGAACCAAAATGATATGTGAGGTGTAATATAAAAGATCAATAATGTAAAAAAAAAACACATAAAAAATCAAAAATGATATTTCACAAACTTCAATGACCATTTGTAATAAAAAGTAAAAACTCTATATAAAAATAATCTTGGCTTAAGGTCGAAAAAGCAGCAGGTATATTATTCATTGCATGTGCCCAAATCCAATTATGCAACAGCCTAACATTATCCAAAGTAAGAGCGCAAAAGAAAATCACCAAACTAGTCATACTGATTTGCATGTGATCAATTTTAGTTTAAAAAAAATCTTGTTTAAAAAGTTGTTTGGTTAACAATTTCAATTTTATGTGAAACTTAGAAATTGAAAAAAAAAAAAAATCAGTCAAATGGTGAATTAGATATCATAGAATTAAAGTGCAAGTTACAAAGAGTTCATAGTATTTTTTCGCTGAAATTTTTGAAGTTAGGATGTTTTTTTTTCTTAATTTTTTATTGGAGGTCCTTAGGCTTGGATGTCCTGAGCCGAATGCAAGAGTCGATGGGTCCGATCCAATTCAGGAGGTCTCAAATATCAAGTATTAGTAATTGGAGTGTAATGCATGTGTGGTGATGTAAAATTTGTGAATAAAACATGAGGACAAAAAAAAGGAAAATAAAAACTAAAAACTGAAAAACTTTCGAGTTAAAAAAAAAATAAGGGTATATACTTCTAAAAACTAAATTTCACTTTTTTGAAACAGAAATGAAATCTGCTTCCAAACATATTTTCAGTTTTCAATAAAACTGAAAATTAAATGGGTATCACGCAACCCCTTATAGCTAATGAATCTAGCATAAATAAAAAAAATCCCAAATCCTAACCCTTCACTAATTTCACCCCTTGGCTGCAAACCCTAAACTTAATTTAATTTTGATCTTCCACTTAATTTAATTGATATCTCAACCATTTGTCTAATTAAACTCTGTGTGTATTTGAAGAACATTAAACAATTGTCCTCGAATTTAAATTTTTGCGATAAAATTTATAGTAATGCTACTTGGACTTCTTTTTTTTTGTTTTGCAAAAGTTATGAAGGGAGAGAGAGGAAAACTCACACAAGCGGGTACCGGCTTAATGCTATTTGGACACTTTTTCTTTTTATGCCAAAGTTAGGAAGGGAAAATGGGTAAAATGGGTAAAATTGACACGTGTTAATATATTTTATTAATTTTGATCTTTTAATTATGAAAAATAATTACTAACATTTTGTTTCTTTCTTATAATAATCATTTTATAAATAAATAAATAAAAGAGAGTTAATTATGGTTATACTCATAGACACGGTGTCAAGTCTTCGAGAAAGGTGGAGTAACTAATGTGTATTTTTTGTTGTCTAAGACATTTTTCATAATTAATATGTATTTGTAATCTTCATGTGTTTTCTATTTTTAATTTTAATTACTAAAATGAAAAATGGAAAAAAAAGGGCAGAGGTGGAGGTAATTACTACCACATTGTAATTGGGTTTTGAATTTTGAATTTTCTTTTAATTTCTTTACTTAAACTAGCCTCTCCACATACGCTTCCGCGTCTGTGAGAGGCTTTTTATAAAAAAAATTAAATTTATTTTAGAATTAAAAAAGATAATGGGTAATTGGGTTCCATAAAAATAGGATCCATTATTTGATTTTTCTTTTAATTTAAATTTTTTAAATATGAAAAGGTGTGAATTTACCATATTATCCTCATTTAATTAATAATTTTAATTCTTAATGTTTGCATTAACCAATGGCCTTTTCTGGTATTTTGAATGTTTTACCATTCTCTGCCTTTTGCTTTATATATATAGATGATAAGTATTTCACCATTTTACCCTTAGAATGTTAAATAGATAACTTTTAGCAATTTAGTGAATCAAGGGTATATTTTGGATTTGTGAATGTTTTACCATTATTCTATGTTTCTCCCTTCATATATACTAAGCCCCTTGGAGTACGTTTTTATATTTTTTTATATTTTTTTTTAGAATTAAAAAAGATAATGGGTAGTTGTGTTCCATAAAAATAGGACTCATTATCTAATTTTGTTTATAATTTTAAAATTTTAAAAATAGGATCCATATTATCCATATTTTATTAATAATTTCAATTTTTAATGTTTGAATTAACGAAAAGCATTTTTTGATATTTTGAATGTTTCACCATTCTTTGCCTTTTGCTTTATATATAGATGTAAATATAGATATAGATATAGATATAGATAAATCATCATATAAAAACACAGCTACTCTAATACTGTTTAAGAAACTTTCCTTGGGAAAATAATAAAAGTGAATGTATACCAGTCCTTAGCCTTCCACCCAGAGAAATCTGCCACTTTCGCCAACGCATCTCTCCACTCTTGCACCTTCGTTTTTTCATCATAACTAAATCTTTCTTCCAGTTGTGTAAAGGCTTTCTCAAAACACCCCGTTTGTTTTCGTACATGAGATGGATCAACATAATAGAAAATTGGTAGCACTGCTTCTCTTGCTTCCATGAATTTAAGAATGTGTAGAAGTTCATCCAAGCACCATGTTGAGGATGCATAATTTTGTGAGAGGACAATAAGCGCAAACCTTGAACCTTCAATCGCAGCAATCAGTTCTCGAGAAATAGCTTTTCCCTTCGAAATTTTAGGCTCATCCCTGAAAGTTATGATTCCTTGAGCTCTCAATGTTTCATATAAGTGGTCTGTAAAGCCCTTCCGAGTGTCATCACCTCTAAAACTGAGAAAGACATCATATTTCCATTGAGGTGTTGTAGATGTTCTTCGTGTGTACATATCGCCACTAGAATGAACTTAATTACTTAGCTGTGGCAATTTCCTGAAGATTGTGATCAAATCCACTGCGAGAAAGCCCAAAAGTTTTGATCATTTAACAAGTCCTTTTTTCGACTGCAGAAAATAGTAGAAACGTTAAAATTAATGCACACTTGTGTCTTGAATAATATAGAAAATCTAGAATAATGGAGAATGAGCAAACTAACTTAACAAAGTCGGTGAATCCAAAATATCATGATATCAAAGTATGCTTTAGTATAAAATAATCAAAGTGATGTAATATAATAAACTAACCGACTAAGCTATGTTGGTTAGAACTCTCCTATATATAGGCAGAGGTGACGTTGAGTAGGAGCAAGGTGAGCAACAGATCAAGGTCTCACTTTGATGGGGCCCCACAATTAATATTAATACAAATTTAGTTATATACTCAATCTTAGACATGGTCTTATAAAGCAACACTATAACATTTAAAAACTATAAACACATCCAAAAAAAACCCAAAAATCGACATCTCTATATTTTTTAATTTAATTAATAAAATGAAATACCTTTATTACCCTTTTAACATTAAATTGGAATTCTAATCCATTCATCTAGAGTTGAAGCCAGAGCATAGCTCATTTCACAAGCTCCAGTCTCTCATCTTCATCTTCAACCCTAATTTTCAGTTTTTGTTCTTCCATTTCTTTTTTTGAAATCATTTTTCTCTTTGGACTTTTCAGATTGTGCAGATGTCTATGTCATAGCCAACAATGGAGAGGAGACATAGACATCTCCATTGTCGAGTCCGTGTCGTTGTGCAAATGTCTATGTCTCCTCTCCATTGTAGCCGTTTGGTTTGGACTTGGGATTTTTGATCTTTTGCTTCAATTATGTGTTTCTCTTTAGATTTTAGTTGATTTGAGGAATGTATTTTAAGCTTTGATGATCTATTTATCTTTTGTTACTATTTAAGTTATGGATCACATATTTTTGTTTAATAATGTATTTCTATGACAGAGTATTAACAAGATAGTTCTATGACAGTGTATTAACAATGTACTTCTATGATATAATAGTATTAACAAGATAGTTCTATGACATAGTATTAACAATGTACTTCTATGACAAAGTATTAACAATGTAGTTCTATGAAGAGCCCCTACTTGGTTTTCGTGAATTTTTTTTAATAAATTGTTTGGGTTTTTTAAAAAACTCTGGGCTGGGCTTGTTTTGGGTTTATTTTGAGTTTTTTGTGTTGGATTTTTTTTTTAAAGTTAATCAGTGGTAATCATGTAATTTATAGGAATTTCAACACCCATTTTTTATGTAGTAAATGGGTTTTGAGTGTATTTCTAAAGTGCATTCCATGTAGGCATTTAAAAAATAATAATAATTTCAGCCCTTATTTTAAGTATAATATTAATTTACATTTAAGAAACTAGGGTAGCCTATAGCCTTATAATAGTATTGGTTTAATAAAATTAATATTGACTTTTTATTTTTGAGACTGACTTACAAAAGGAAAAGTGGGCCCCATATAATAATATTATTCTAATAATAATGTTAATTTTCCTATTCCTATTTAATATTGGTTTTCTTATTCCTATTAAATTTTTTTAAATATTTTTTATCTAATGATAATTAGTAATTTAATAATCACACAATTTTGATTATAGAGTGAAAACTTTATTTTAGGAGGCTCTCTTGTTGTTTTGGCACAAGGCCCCTAAAATTTCAGAGATGTTGTATATAGGCTTGTTGGCTTGATAAATATGTAAGCTGAAAACTACCAGCTGTCCTATATCCCATCTTCCTCTTCTGAGCTTTTGGCTGTGCTGCCACCTCTAATGTGGCTTTTACTTTCCTTTTATGTCGTTTTTTTGTGTGCGCTTTTTCTATTTTGTTTGTCTTGCTGTTGCCCCAGATCTCCTCAATCTCTTCTCTCCCACTACTCTATAGCCATTTCACCTATTTCTCCCTCTTCTCCTCTCATCCACTCACCCCTCTTCAGCCCATTTCTCTTTCCCTCCCATGAACTCTTTAACCCTAAACCCCTTCCTTTTTCCTAGGATTGCTTGGTTATCTCTTGATTTGTTGCTGATGTTCATCTCCTAACCCATCCTCAGATATGAGCTTTTGCTCTAGATGAGTGGGCTTTGTAGTTTAATGGTCAATTTAGACCAATTCATGGATCGTTTGAGCTTGATGCATGGTGGTGGCTTGCTTCCCCAAATCCACGCTCTTCAGATCTCCTTTGTTGGTTCTCATGAACCTTCCTCTACTGGCGGCGACGACAGATTAGGTGGCAAAGGCGGCTGCTTGGTTTTTGAGTGTGATTTTGTTTTATTGTTCTGTTTGTTGTATTAGGCTTGTTTCGTATTTTCTTTTGTTGTGTGCGGCTACTTCAAAGTAAGTTCATGTTGCTTCATATAGGAACAAAAATTAAAATCCCAATCTTTTTTTATTTGGGTAAAAGTCTACTTCCTATTTAATAAATGAGATTTTTTGAAACTTTATTTGATGGGCTGCTTTTTTTTTTTTATTTATTAATATATTGATGGACATTAGATTTCACTTTTAAAAAACCAAAGTTATTATTAAGTTGAAAAAGTTAATAGAAAACCCTGACGCGTGGGTCTAGAAATGTTCGCAACTTTCGATCACGTGGTGATTATTATAGAGTGCTGTTATTTCCACCCCCTTGTCCTATTTTCCCACCCACCATGTTAATTTGAAAAAAAAAAAAAT